GGCGGCAGGGCTGTTGCGAACCGGCGCTTTCCGTGTGTTCCCGGCCAGAGATCCCAGCATGGAAGACGTGCCCGGGGAGGCCGCGCTGCACCGCCTGGAGGGCCTGGCTCCGGAGACGCAGGCGGGCGGCCTGCTCATCAGGAAGAAAAGCGCCTCGGAGGAGCAGCATGTCTTCAAGATCCCAGCGCCGCGCACTTCGCTGCTGGGCCTCGACCTGCTGGCCGCCCAGAAGCGCCGCGAGCGCGAGGAACGAGACATTGGTGGCGAGGACCGGAAGAGGTCCCGCGTCTCCTCCTACAAGGATTGGGCGGAGGGCAAGGATGATGGGGCAGGTGGTGATGAAGAGGACAATGACGCAGTGGGGCACAGCAGCCGCAAGGACAGGTGACAGAGGGGCAACTGCTCCCACAGGGCTGGCAGAATGAGTGGGGACTGAACAGATGTGAAGGCCTTGCTTCTGGTCGTCAGGGGGTACAGCTTTAAGCGAACTTGTAGCGTTGTTAGCTGTGAAGCATCACTTACTCTTGGGTGGAAGAGCTGAAGATAGATTTACGGAGGTGAAGGAAAATGTCTCTGAAGTTTTAGGTGAATCTTTCTGGTCGTGGCTGAGTCTACTATACTTTTCTCAAAGGCATTACCGCTCTGCTCGGGTGGAGACTCCATCCCATACTGGAGGAGTCAGTGAGGAGTTCTGGGAGCGGAGCCGGCAGCGAGAACGTGAGCGTCGAGAACAGGGGGTTTATGCCTCTTCCAAGGAGGAGAAAGAGCGCAAGAGGGACCATGGACGGGAGCGGGAGCACGATCGCAAGCGGGATCGAGGTATCACTTCTTTGGCACTATCCCTGCCCTGTTCCCTTTTCCAGCCTGTTCCTAGGCTGGAATGTAACTGCTGAAGTGCTGTCCCCACAGAAGAGAGAGACCGAAGTCGTCGCAGTAGCAGCCGGTCAGAGAGGGAGAGTTCCTCAGAGAGGGGCGGTGGTGGCAGCAATCGACGGAATGAGCCAGAGAGCCCTCGCCACCGCCCAAAAGGTACCTGTTCACTTTCGTTCTTTTGCAAGTTGATGATAGGAAGTAATTTTAAGTTGCGTTTAGTATGTTTATCTTCCGTATAACATGAGCCATGGTGGTGTATGTTTCATTCAAGAAGTCCAGTTGGTTTGAGCTTAATGGGTTTCTGTACTTTTTCATTTACTAATAAGAAAAGGACTGAGTTGATCTTTTTCTCTGTAGATTTCTATGTTTAAAAGGGATTGAGGTCTGTATGCTTTTAAATAAACATTAAGAGAGCTTGTGTATATTTCTGTAATTAGTGGTAAATTCATAAGCTGTTACATATTTTAGAGGCAGAAATCTGTAAGCTGGCTTGTCTGAGATCATAGTGAGACAGTGCCAGTACAGAGCTCACAAACTGGAATCTGAAGGGCTGAGTTGTAGAAAATCTAGTAGTTCAGAGTACAAAATCACGGCTCAGGGTATCGGAAGGGGTGGTGTGGCAGCTGGGGACCAGGGACTCCGATCTGATTGAAATGGTGGATTATCTCCTCTGTGTGCCCAGATGCAGCTACACCTTCTCGTTCCAGCTGGGAGGAGGAAGACAGTGGTTATAGCGGTTCCCGCCGTTCCCAATGGGAATCCCCCTCCCCCACCCCTTCCTGCAGGGATCCTGAGCGGAGTCATCGGGGATCTGCTTCCCGTGATAGTGACAGGCGTGACCGTGACCGGTATGGGGATGCCCCTGGGGCGTGGAGCTGTGGGGTGAGGCGTGTGCATGAGGGGGTGCGTTCTGGGGGCAGCTGTGTTGGACTGTTGCTGGTGGGCAGGGTGAGTTGGGATGGTGCTTGCAACGCTTGTGCAGCTTGAGGTGGTGCAACTGTTCGCGCCTTTGGAAGCGCCTCGCCCTCACAGCTTCGCTGCTGGCTGCTCCTTGCAGGTCTGTAAGAAGCAAATATCCAGAAGAGACGCCCTTGCCAACCCCTTCGTACAAGTACAACGACTGGGCAGACAATCAAAGACACTTGAGCACAACGCCGTGGCTCTCCCGAGGGAGAGGTACAGACTGACAGGGCAGGGTGGTGTGTGTGGGGGGGGTTGGGGTCAGAACTATAGCCCATCATAAAACCTTCCATTTCTAGGGAGGCGTGAGGATGGGGAAGATGGTATTGCCTTTGAAACAGAGGAGGAGCGGCAGCAGTGGGAAGATGATCAGCGGGTGAGTGGAGGTGTATTTATTTATTTATTTATTTAAAACATTTCTATGCCGCCCCATTCGCCGAAGCCTCGGGGCAGCTCACAACATAAAATTAAAATATAATATATTCAAATATACAACGAATTAACAATATAAAATAAATCGCCCTAGCCAGATAAAATAAGCAAATAATATTAACAATTAAAATGCCATTTAAATAAAAAGGTCTTCGCCTGGCGCTGAAAAACAAATAACGACGGCGCCAGGCGGACTCTCTGGGGAGCGCATTCCATAGATTGGTTGGAATTGTCCTGGGAAAAGTCAGTTTTGGGATGTCGTTGTTACTTTAACAAAGCTCAGAGAAAGAACCTGCATTTTTCACAGGCTCTGTAGAAAATGAGATGAAGACAATCAGGTACCTGAGCTAGGAGGGAGGGCCTCCTCATGGCTGATACATTTGAGCTGTTTTTTCCCCTTAAACATTATGGGGAAAGATGGCTTTCAGAAAGTAGGGTTTCAAGTTTAACACGGGTGGGTAGTGGAGTGAAGTGTCCCCCCAGTGCCTGCGCCTGATTTGAGAACGGTCGGGAGCTCAGGGTTCCCCTGAAGGTGGCATGCTGTGGGGAGAAGGGACTCTTCCCCGGATCGTGTCACGGGGCTTTCCCGGGTTGGCAGTGGCTGTGCTCTGTTGCTGCCCCACCTCCCTTTGTAGTCTCTCCCCGTTTTTTTGCTGTTGCACTTTCTGGTCTTAATGCTTCGCATTTTCTTTTTTGTCCTCAGCAAGCTGACCGAGATTGGTACATGATGGACGAGGGCTACGATGAATTCCACAACCCACTGGCCTCTTCGTCAGAGGAGTACGTGAGGAAGCGGGAGCAGCACTTGCAGAAGCAAAAGCAGAAGCGTATCTCGGCTCAGCGCAGGCAAATCAATGAGGTTGGACATTAATGAGGTTGGGGTGGGAGTCTGACAGGGAGGCCGGCGGGAACCTCATAGGCCCCTTGTCCATCTGGCATGGTGCAGGGGGCTCTTCCTGTCTCCCACAGCAGCCGTCTCTTCTGGGGTCAGAAGGGAGGGCAGCTGATGCCGCTGGCCTTCTGCTTGGCAGGATAATGAGCGGTGGGAGACGAACCGCATGCTCACGAGTGGCGTGGTGCAGCGCCTGGAAGTGGACGAGGACTTTGAGGAGGACAACGCTGCCAAGGTCCACCTCCTGGTCCACAATCTGGTGCCTCCCTTCCTGGATGGGCGCATCGTCTTCACCAAGCAGGTACCGGGTAGGGGAGAGGGTGCTGCCGGAGGTTCTGGCATCAGGATGAGCGCGAGTGCCCGTCCCGGCCTGATCCCTGTACGCTGCTCGCTCGCTTGCCTCTTTCCAGCCTGAGCCTGTCATCCCCGTCAAAGACGCTACCTCGGACCTGGCGATCATTGCCCGGAAAGGCAGCCAGCTGGTGCGCAAGCACCGCGAGCAGAAGGAGCGCAAAAAGGTACCTGCCGGAACCTGGCTGGGGCTGTGTTCTGCTGGGCTGCCTGCCCCCCTTGGGCCAGAAGCCCCCTCTCCTCTGCTGGCAGTTCTGGCCATGGAGCTTTCCTCACGGGGAGCAGGGTGTTGGAAGGGCTTCTGAGGCTCAGGTTTCCGGGCAGGAGGAGGTGAAGTGGCTGCGTCGAGGCATCTGCGGTGCTTCTCTTGAAGTATAGCAGGGCTGGAGAGGCGACTGAAGGGCCTCTGCCCCCAGTCTCGGCTTGTATCCAGCTGGAGCAGACTGCATGGCTTTCACGTGTGTGTGGTGCTGTATTCCAGGCACAGCACAGGCACTGGGAGCTGGCCGGTACCAAACTGGGAAATCTTATGGGTATCAAGAAGGAGGAAGAGGAGGAGGGCCCAAACCAGATTTTAGCTGAGGACGGAACTGTGGATTACAAGTAAGGAGCAGGCCTGCAGGCTGGGCGGGGGGGGGGGGGGTGGGAGTGGCTGGAGATTTCTACTGGAGGGCAAAAACAGTGAAAGTCTCTTCTCAGGACAGAGCAGAAGTTTGCTGATCACATGAAAGAGAAGAGCGAGGCCAGCAGTGAGTTTGCCAAGAAGAAGTCGATCGTGGAGCAAAGACAGTATTTGCCCATCTTTGCGGTGCAGCAGGAGCTGCTGACTGTCATTCGGTGAGTCTCCCCGGCTCCTTTGTCCCAGTCCTTCCTTCTTTCCCTGGGAATGGGATGGGGGCCACATCCAGAGAAGGCCTCCCTGGATTTTTCAGGGGACCAAGGCATCAGGATCTTCCCCTGGTAACTCTCTTTAGTTCTCTCACTGCTGCTTTCATTGTTTTCCCGACTCTGGAAAATCCCTGAAAGAGGGGAGGGTGGGACTGCTGCCCAGCCACTTCTGATGGCTGGCTCTGGGAGCACTTGCAGTGCACAGGCTGCGAGGGAGGGGATGGTGAGCCTCCAAGTCGACTGGCCTCTTTGCTTAAAAGAGATGTCGGCTGCCTCTCATAGAATCATAGAATGGCAGAGTTGGGAGGGGCCTTGAAGGCCGCTGGGTCCAAGCCCCTGCTGGTGCAGGGCACCAGGTCATGCTTCCCACTCGGAGGGCCGCCCAGTGGCTTTTGGAGTGCCTCTAGTGTGGGAGAGGCATTTCCAGCGCCTGGTGGCTGCTGGGTGGGGGGTGCTGGGCCGTGGGAGCAGGTCCGTCAGTGGGGACTGATTTTAGATGTTTAGTTTATATACATGCGGTTTAAATTTTTTAAAAAGCTATTTTTACAGTGTCTTATTTTTATTCTGTATTATATTCTGTTGATTCTTGTTTACTGCCCAGAGAGCTTCTCCTACCAAATGGCATAGAAAATGGACAGGTGCATGAATGAATGAACGCAGTACTGAGGGAAAGTGTGCGGCAGGTTAAGGGGCATCTTAAATTAAATGGCTTTTGAAAGTAAAAAACGTCTGAACCGGCTGCCAGAAACACTGCAGTGCAGCGCCGCCTTGGCTGCATTGGTGGCTCCGTTTCTCACAGGGACAACAGCATCGTGATTGTTGTCGGGGAGACCGGCAGCGGCAAGACCACGCAGCTGACGCAGTACCTGCACGAGGACAGCTACACCGACTACGGCATGATCGGCTGCACGCAGCCCCGGCGGGTGGCCGCCATGTCGGTGGCCAAGCGCGTCAGCGAGGAGATGGGCGTGAGCCTCGGGGAGGAGGTGAGCCCAGCGAGGCGAGGCGTGCGGGAAGGCAGGGCTGGGGGCGGGCAGGGGAGGCTGCCCAGAAGCCCAGCATAGGGCGGTCCCCTTCTGGCTGGACCGCCCTTGCAATGGGCCCCGGCGGCCGGCGCCCATTGAGGCCCCACTCGCCTGTCCCGGCCTCTTCCTCGCCGCCCTCAGGTGGGCTACGCCATCCGCTTTGAGGACTGCACCTCGGAGAACACGGTCATCAAGTACATGACAGACGGGATCCTGCTGCGCGAGTCCCTGCGGGAAGCTGACCTGGACCACTACAGCGCGATCATCATGGACGAGGCCCACGAGCGCTCCCTGAACACGGATGTGCTGTTCGGCCTCCTGCGAGAGGTCGGTGCTCGCTTCCCGGGGGGCCCGCCAGCTGCACGCGGAGCAGTTCAAAGGGAAGCTGCCGTGTGTGCGTGGAGCAGCAAGCCTGTGCAGTGCAGGGTTTTTCTGCGAATGATTTTAGTCCAAGCAATAGAAGCAAGAAGAACCTCAGGGTCGGATGGACAGAGCAGTTTTTATGAGATAAAAACCATTTTTAAATTGGTAGATAGCTTCATTTTTATGGGATTGTGTTCACGATGAAAGTTATTTGAAGCAGTGGTTATTTAAGTTGCGGAAAAATTTCTTTTTTGGCATACGTCCTAAAGAGAACTGAAAATCGGATTTAAAAAAGAATGGTGGAATCATTCATGCCCTGGGAGTGCTGCCTTTGTCGGCAAAATGGAGGGGAAGGTGGTGGCTCCTCAGACTTGCGTGAGCTGCAGAACACAAAGCTCTCGGCTGGGGGGGTTCCCTCCCTCCTGGGCTCGCCGCCAGTGTGAGGAGCTCCTTTTGTGCGCGTCCTCGGTGCTTGTGAGGCAGGTGAAGGGCAGCCCGTGTGGATGAGCCGCGGTGTCGGGGGGGTGCACAGCAGTCTCCGCTGGAGCGCTCTGGGAAGGGTGCTGACTGGGGAGCCGGGGGGAGAGTGGGACTGCCCCCCGGCTCCGTTGCACGTGGGGCAGCTGATCCTGACGCCGTCCGCTGCCTTGGATGTGACGTGGGTTCCCTGTGAGGCGTTGGGGTTGCCACGTGCCCTTCATGCTCGGGCCTCGCTGAGCTGGGGAGGAGGTGGCCCCGCCGTTCTGGCCGTGCAGTCCCAGGCGAGGACCTGCCCGCACCCCGTCTTTCGACTGGGTAGCCGTGACTTCAGCAAAGCTCCTGATGCGCTGCCCCGTACTCTTCTGATCGGCGGACCCGCCAGACATGGGCCAGGACAGAGCAGCTGCCGGGGCGACCCGTAGTTGGCTGCAGAGCCGGACGCAGAAAGCGCTCCCCTCGCTCGCACTGGGGAGAGCGGCAGGTGGGCTGCTGCGGGGCCCCAAAACCGCCCCAGCCGCGATTTGGAGGAGGCGGAGGTGCAAGGAGAGCGGGCTGGTTCCCCCACACTGGGCGGGTTCAGGCTGCAGCTTGGCGGTCATCCGTTTGAGCCGCTTGACCTCGTAGCCTTGCTCTGAGCAGCGGGGTGGCCCCAGTGGCCCTCTTGGCCTTCTCCACTGTGCTCTTCTGTGATCCCACAAGGCAGCCCACCCTGGCAGCTTGCTGGCGAGGGGAGGGGAGGGGACGGGGAATTTGGCAGGTTCTGTGGTATGCTCCCCCCACCCCCAACAGCCGCTGTATTCCATCTGTCTGGCTGCTCGGAGGAGGAGTTCTGTCAGAGAGCACCGTGCGGCCAGAAGAGGCGTCTCTTCCTAGCGCCGGTGTCCTGTGGGCTGCTTTTTGTGCTCATTCATATAGGGAAAGAGAGAAACCGATGCTTGAAAAGGGTTTGTTTGGAGAGAGGCTTCTGTGTGCCCGTGTGACCCCGGTCCCCTCACCGTTCCCCAGGTGGTGGCTCGGCGCTCAGATCTGAAGCTGATTGTGACCTCGGCCACCATGGATGCGGAGAAGTTTGCTGCTTTCTTTGGGAACGTGCCCATCTTCCACATCCCAGGCCGCACGTTCCCTGTCGACGTCCTCTTCAGTAAGGTACGGAGAGGGCGCGCGAAGGGTGTGTGGGCCTGTCCCTGGGCTGCCTGAGCCAGCGGTGCCAGTGGCCAGGCGGGGGCATCAGTCCGCCTTCCCCCTTGCAGACCCCGCAGGAGGACTACGTGGAGGCCGCCGTGAAGCAGGCCCTGCAGGTGCACCTGTCCAGCGCTCCCGGGGACATCCTGATCTTCATGCCCGGCCAGGAGGACATTGAGGTGAGCGGCTGGGAGGTGCCCCCACCCCACCCCACCCGCCTGCCCGCCCCTGCACGTGTACTCACCCCCCTCCCCGCAGGTGACCTCGGAGCAGATTGTGGAGCACCTGGAGGAGCTGGAGAACGCCCCTGCCCTGGCCGTGCTGCCCATCTACTCGCAGCTGCCTTCTGACTTGCAGGCCAAGATTTTCCAAAAGGTGGGCAGCACCTGGTGTGCCTCTCGCTGGGCATCAGACGGCCAGGTTGGGTGGAGCAGGCCGAGGTGGAAGGGCCGGCCGATGCCTTGTGCCCGACCCAGGAGGTTTCTCCCGCAGGTGGGGGATCTGCACCCTAGGGATGTGAGGAGGGGGGCTTGGGGGGTGGCACAAAGGCCTTCCCCGAGGGCGGTGGGGGAGCGTCTCAGCCGAGAGCAAGGGCAGAGTCTGGCCGGTGGTCTTGAGCGCTCTTCTCTGGCAGGCCCCAGATGGTGTCCGGAAGTGCATTGTAGCCACCAACATCGCGGAGACCTCGCTGACCGTGGACGGGATCATGTTCGTGATCGACTCTGGCTATTGCAAGCTGAAGGTGAGGGGAGTGGCTGGGAGCGGCCCCCCCAAGGGGTGAGGGGGCCGTGGCTGCTCCTCACACGCCTCTCTTTGGCCCAGGTCTTCAACCCACGGATTGGCATGGATGCCTTGCAGATCTACCCAATCAGCCAGGCCAATGCCAACCAGCGCTCGGGCCGAGCTGGAAGGACAGGCCCAGGTCAGTGTTTCAGGTAGGAGCTGCGATCACGCGAGACGCCCTCCCTGCGTTGGGGACCGAGGCGTGTCTGATGCCGCCGCATCCCGGCAGAGCTGTTGCGGCAGTGCTTCAGTAGCCTCCCTGCGCTCCTTTGTTCCCGGTCGCCTCGGCAACGGGGGGGGCTGCACTGAGCGGCTCTGCTTCCCCGGGCAGGTTGTACACCCAGAGTGCGTACAAGAACGAGCTGCTGACAACCACCGTGCCAGAGATCCAGCGCACCAACCTGGCCAACGTGGTGCTCCTGCTCAAGTCGCTGGGGGTGCAGGACCTGCTGCAGTTCCACTTCATGGACCCTCCTCCCGAGGACAACATGCTCAACTCCATGTACCAGCTGTGGATCTTGGGGGCACTGGACAACACAGGTAGCGCTGAGCCCCCCAGGGCGTGGTGTAGTGGCGGGCCCCAAGCATGGTGCCAAGTCCCTCACGCCATGCTCTCGCCTCAGGTGGGCTGACCTCAACCGGGCGCCTGATGGTGGAGTTCCCCCTGGATCCAGCCCTCTCCAAGATGCTGATCGTCTCCTGCGACATGGGCTGCAGCTCCGAGATCCTGCTGATCGTCTCCATGCTGTCTGTGCCAGCCATTTTCTACCGGCCCAAGGTTTGACTGCGTGCGGTGCAGGGGGTGGGGGTGGGGGTGGGCAGGGGGCCTTTCCGGCCAGCAGGCTTCAAGGCTGCCTCCTTGCAGGGGCGGGAGGAGGAGAGCGACCAGGTGCGGGAGAAGTTTGCCGTCCCGGAGAGCGACCACTTGACCTACCTGAATGTGTACCTGCAGTGGAAGAACAGCAGCTACTCCAGCTTGTGGTGCAACGAGCACTTCATCCACGCCAAGGCCATGCGCAAGGTGCCTGCTGTGGGAGGGAAGGGCTGGGCGGCCCGGGACGGGACGGGTGCAGCGCCTCGGCCCCCGCCTGACCACTCTCGCTGCCCTGCAGGTGCGGGAAGTGCGGGCCCAGCTGAAGGACATCATGGTGCAGCAGCGCATGAGCCTGGCCTCGTGCGGCACGGATTGGGACGTGGTTCGCAAGTGCATCTGTGCCGCTTACTTCCACCAGGCCGCCAAGCTCAAGGTGAGGGGGGGCTGCCTGGGGCGTGTGCAGGGCAGGGGCCTTTCTGCACGGCTGCCGCCCAGTTTGGCTGGCTGGCTGGCGGCCCGTTTCTGTGCAGCTCCAGCAGGAGGCCCTGCGAGCGATCCCAGACCACCACTCCTGTGGCAGCTGGGTTTTCCTGTGCGAGGGGCAGGGCAGGGGGCAGCTTCCGCCATGCTCTGCTCCTTGCTTCTCGCTAGTCCAACCCCACAGCGGGTCTTTCCCCTTGGAAGGCCACTGCTTGAGCACCGGCCGGGGTTCTGCCCAGCCAGCAGGTGGGGCGCTGCCTGCGCAGGACTGCATCCCCTCTCTGCTGGTTGGCCCTCGCCCCTCCTGCTCCCCCTCCTCCAGCCTCCCATCCAGCCTGGGGAGGGGCAAGTGCAGCGGGTGCCGGGCAGTGCCGACTCCCGTCCTCTCTCTGCGCTGCAGGGCATCGGGGAATACGTCAACATCCGCACGGGCATGCCCTGCCACCTCCACCCCACTAGCTCACTTTTCGGCATGGGCTACACACCCGACTACGTTGTCTACCACGAGCTTGTGATGACCACCAAGGTGAGTTGAGGCACAAGTGGGAGGGAGGCGGGAGGCCCCTGCATCCTCCATGCACTCACTAGCCCCCCCCGGTCTGCCCCCCACAGGAGTACATGCAGTGCGTCACGGCTGTGGACGGCGAGTGGCTGGCTGAGCTGGGGCCGATGTTCTACAGCATCAAGCATGCGGGGAAGTCTCGCCAGGTAAGGGGGCTGCACTGATGCAGATCGGCCTGGGCCCCTGGCACAGCCTCACCGCCTCTGCGTGGGCTGCACTGCTCCCCCAGTGGGCTCAGGGGCCTCCACTTTTCTGCGGGGTGCCTGGTCGCATCGCGGCTGGGTCTTCCTGGAGCGAGCTGCGACGAAGAGCCGCTGGGCAGGTTCATGTGGGCTCCCCGTGCCCTGCCGCGCTGCAAGGCCCGCGCTGACCCAGGAGGAGCTTCGTGGCTGCCTCAGGGGCAGGCAGGCCAGGCTCGCTGCGCCACACGTGTGTGGAGCAGGCAGAGTGCCTGCCAGCAGGAGGGTGAGCTTTGCTCGTTGCGCTGCCCCAGGAGAGCCGCCGGCGTGCCAAGGAGGAGGCCTCTGCCATGGAGGAGGAGATGGCTCTGGCGGAAGAGCAGCTGCGGGCCCGCCGAGAGGAGCAAGAGCGCCGCAACCCGGTGGGCAGCGTGAGGTAGGTGGGGCTCCTGGCACGGCTGGGCACACTGGCCTTGGCCCAGGCAGAGGCACCTGGTGCTCAGCTCTCCCTCCTCCTCCTCCCGCAGGTCCACCAAGATCTACACGCCCGGGCGCAAGGAGCAAGGCCAGCCCGCCACCCCCCGCCACACGCCCGCCCGCTTTGGTCTGTAACCGCCGCCACCGCTGCGGCCGTGTACATAGGTTTCCCACCAGAGTCAGCTGGGCAGGGCCCACCTTGGACAGACACTGAGAAATAATTTTATTGTTTATATAAATGTTGCTGCTTCCTGATCCTCTTTCGCGCACTTGCTTTCTTGGGCCTCCCCATGAACCTGGTCCCCAGGACTGGGCTTGCAGGGAAACTCACGTGGAGGATTCTTGACTGATTGATGGCAGTCTGGTCTTTGGGGCCCAGGCTACTGTTCGCAGCGGTGTGCCCAAGGCACACATGTGCGCGCACACACACACACACACACTGCTGCGGCATGGTCTCTGGGCTGAGGTGACTTAGTCTGTGCACACGTCTTCTGCTTGTGAGACTCCACACGACTGCCGTTGATCTGCCGCCCCCGACCCACATGCCCTTTCTGGGACTGGGCACAGCCGATGCCTGGCCTGCCCCTGCTGCCCTCACAGCCTGAGGACCGGGTTGTGAGGAGCGATGGTTGCAGCCACGGAGGAGCCAGGATGGGCTCCCTCCTGTAGGAAGCACTTTGTTGTGTCTCTAGGCCAAGTGGAGAGCTGAAAGCAGCGAGAAATGGCGAACGGGTTAGAGAGCTGTGTGGCAACCGGACCCGTCTTTCACTTCCTCTGCCAAGGCACATCCCCAGAGCCGTCTTGCCACTTCCCCTAGCGGGCCTGTGGGTTAAATAGGTGGGAGGAAGGCTGCACGTGCCGAATGTCTGCCTGTCCATTTAGAGTGCTGGATAAAAGGAACGCAAGCACAGGGGCTGCTCCCCTCACCATGGGGGGGGGGGGGGGGGGTGGATTCAGGATGAACAGAAGGAAGTCCTTTACAGCAGGTGCATTGATTTGCCGTGATGTTTTTTTTTCCTGGCTTTGAAAGCAGGATCCCCTCCTGACAGTTTGAACGTTCCGAGCACAATCACTGTGCTTGTGGCACCAACCCGGCGCTTGGCCCGTGGCACAGCCGTTGCGGCATGTGTGGGACGGGGCTGCTACAGCCCCCCCCCCCCGGGGCCTCGGGCGGTGGCGTGCGTGCTGCTGGCCCGGCTGTGGGCAAAGGCCACGACAGACACGGCTGGCCTTCCGGGCGTGCTTCCTTGCCAGGTCTTCCAAGGGCAGTCCTGGCAGCAGCAGAGCTGCAGGTGTTTGCCTCCGCCTTCAGTAGCCAGCCCAGGCCGTCCCTTGCTGGGCTGCAGCCCTGTGGGTCCTGGTGCTGTTCTCTGGGCCCCTCGCTGCCTGGGCCCCTTTCGCCCCGAGAGAGAGAGCGCCCTGGCCTGGGAGAGGGGGCACAGGCACTTACTCACTTGTGGGGCGCGTGGGCCAAGGGTGGTGCCGTGCCTCACGCCAGCTCATCTCGCTGCTGCACAAAGCCTGCAGCAGCCTGGCCAAGGCGGGCAGCCGCGTCGGGAGGCCCTGCGTGCCCGTCCCCCATGCAGTGCTGCCTCTTCCTCGCAGTGGCTTTTCCGGGCAGCGTTCTAGCCAGGGGGCCACCCTTGCTGTTCTGCCTGAGCCCCATACGCAGAGGCAGACTGCTAGGTGCATGTGCTTGGGGGCGGGGAAGAAGAAACTGCCCCACAGGCCCCCAGGGACAGCAGAAGGGTGAGAGCAGGCCTGAAGCATCGGGGCGGCAGGAGCCGGCCTTGCACACAAGCACTGCCCCCAAGGCCAGCTTGGCTTGCTCGCTCCCTTTCGCCTGCCAGCTGAGCCAGTCGCTGGCTCCACTCTTGGCTCTTGTGGCGCAGCTTCTTGTTCACCTGCCTGCCAAAAAGGATGGATGCGAAGGGGAGGCAGGGTGGGAAGAGCAGCGTGTCGGGTTGGAGGTGAGCCCGGCGGCTGCCCAGACCCGGCCTCAGGCCCCAGCAGGGTGCCCACCTGAGCTGGCCAGGCTGCCTGGCGCCACTCGCTCACTTCTGCTCCTTCCCCTGCCGGCTGGCGGTGGCCGCCACCAGCGCTCTCGCGCGCTGCAACTGACGGATGTCGGAATGCGCCACCTCCAGCGAGGCCTGCAGGGATGCCACCTGCCAGGCGAGAAGGCACCGCAGCAGTCCAGAGGCAGAGGCAGCCTGACCCCTTCCTGGCCCAAACACTCTGCCAGCGGGCAAGCCATGCACAGCGTGGCAGAGCGAATCGCCGGTGGCAGCGGCACGCTAGTTCCAGGGTCTCTGGTGGACGAGGGCACAGGAGCCTTGGCTGCATCAGGCCGAAGGGCCAGTCCAGTGTCCAGAGCAGATGCCCCTGGGAAAGGCACAAGCAGGACCCGGAGGTCTCACTGCCTAAAGACACCCTGCCCTTTTTGCGCCTCAGCACCATGTCCCAGTTCAGAAGTGACTTGTCCGTGGTGGGATGATGGGCCTGCGTGGCTCCCAATTGGAATGAATGAGCGCCTCACCACACCAGAAAAATGTCAGCAGTTGTCAGAGCTGGACACAACCCAACACCCTCCTGGAGCACCGGGCAGAATTGCTGAGCCGGCAGTGTCCAGGTGGGGGGCGGCTGCCACCTCTTGCCAAGGCCACCCGCAGGGGGCCCAGCCCAGGGCTGCAGGGATGAGCCCTACCTCCTGGCGGGCGAGAACAGCTTTCTGCCGGAGAAGGCTGGCCTCTTTCTGCAACTCTTCCTTCTGCCAACGGAAGCCCCAGAGAAAGCATCACTGCTGGAGGAGGCCACGACATGGCGGCACCCACCCCGAGGAGGCCCCCTGCCCGCGGCCTCCAGAGCGCCCTCTCCAACACACCTCCTCCATCACGCGGCAGCACCTCTCCTCCAGCGAGGCCAGCTCCACCTTCATCACCACCAGCTCCTCGTCCTTCTCTGCCAGGGCCAGCCGGGCCGCCTCTTGCTCCCTCTGCCAGCACTGCGCTTGGCTGCCCAGTTGTCTCTGAGCGGTGCAGAGCTGCCGGGAGAGGGCAGGTGAGCCCGGGCTGGGCCGGCTTGGCCCCCCACCAGAACACTCACCACCGCCTCCCACTCTGCCGGTTCGCTCCTCAGGTGCCACACCTGCTCTTGGGAAGAGGCCAGCTCTCCTTCCACGGGGGCCACTGGAGCTGCTGCAGGCAGGTGTGCTCCTGCGCCAGGCGCCGCTCCCACCTGGGGGCTGCGCTGCTGCCTTCGCAGGGCCCCCTCCTGCCACTGCCTCCGGCTCGGTATGCTGCGTCTCCAGCACAGAGCTGTGCCCTCTCAGCAGTGGGCAGGGGCCTGGAGGGAGGCTGCTGGGCACCATCCACACCCCCGCCCTCTCTACCTGTTGCTGCAGGCAGCTCAGCCCCTCCTGCCTGCTGGCCAGGTCCAGTTCCAGCCGAGTGGCCGCCCGCTGGTGCTGCTGAGCCGCCTGCAGGGCCCGCTGGAGCTGCCGCTTGGCTCGGCTAAGCTCCTCCGCCTGCCACTGCAGCATTGCCCTGGAGGGAAAGGAGACAGCTCACCGACGGGCAGGCCAGGCTGCCTCTCTGCCCGGGGCTCTCCCTGGCGAAGAGCCTGCCCAAGGCAGAGCCCTGCAGCGCCCACCTCTTCTGCTCCAGCTCTACTTCTGCTCTGAACAGCCTGTCCCGGAGAGGCTCACGCTCGGCTTCCAGCTGGCAGCCAGCCTGCATGTGGCGCATCAGCTCGGCCAGCTGCTCCTCCACGGCACGCAGGCGGCTCTGGGGCAGCAGCACCTGCTCCTCCTCCAGCTGCGCCGTCGCCTGGGCTGTGGGCAGAGAGGGCAGCAGAGCGGGCAGCAGCAGCGGGCCGGGCCGGGGCCCGCCAGGCCCCATGGAGGACGGGGACTGCTGGGCAGGGATCTCCGTCCACCCCGTGCCAGTGTGGCTGCCCAGCAGTGGCACGCGTCTTCCTCCTGGGTGCAGAGGGGCTCCAGAGCAGCAGTTCATCGCGGCTGGGCGAGGCGGCAGAGGAGCTCCGGGCATAAAGGCAGGACAAAAGTGCACACGTGGGGTACAAGGTGGAGCTCACCCCCCCCCCCCCCGGAGGGGGCACTCGAGAGGAAGACACGCAGCTCTGCAAGGGAGGGGCCTTCCTGGTCATGCAGCTGCTGCCACCATGCCAGGCGGGCTGGAGGGCTCGCTCAAGATGGCGGAGCTGCTCAAAGCCCATCAGCCCCCTAAAACGTGGCTGTCTGTGCCGGCAAGCCTCATCCCCGCCGGCGGGCAGGACTGGCCACTGTCCCAGGCACAGCTGCTGCCGCTTAGTGCGGGATGGCGAGCACCGGCCCGGCTCAGCTCACTTACCCGCCTGGTGCCGCAGGGCCTGCCCCTCTCCGCGCAAGGTGCCCCACTCCGCACGGCTGCGCTCCAGCTCCTGCTCTCTCTGCAGCAAGGCACCGTGGGCACGGGCCCCCTCAGCCCAGGCCTGATGCAGGCGCTCATCCCGCCTCCGGACGGCCTGGGGGAGGGAGGGGAGGGAGGGGAGGGGAGAGGGCCGGTGGGAGCGGGCCGGGGCTGGGGCCGTCCTGCGCCCCAGTGCCCCCGCCAGGCTCACCTGCTCCCTCTCCTCGCAGCACTCGTGACTCCGCTGGAGCCCCGGCTCCAGCTGCCGGGCCCACTGCCGCCGGGCCACTGCCTCCGGATGCAGCCTCCGCTCGCTCCGCTCTGGGTGGGCTGCTCCTGCAAGGAGGCCTGCTCAGCCCAGCTCTGCGTGGAAGAGGGGATGGGGGCTGCCACGGCATGCCCCACGCCTGGGGCCTTGCGAGGGGGACTCCCAGTCCTGTCCGCGGAGCTACCTTCCAGGGCGCCGCTCTGTTGCTCCGCCACCCCCGCCAGCTCCAGCTCCAGCTCCAGCTCCAAGTCCCGCACCATGCTCTGGTGCGCCACGGCCTGCAGCTGGCGTGCGCAGCACTCCTCCTCTGCTTGCAGCAGCTCCTGGGCAGGCCAGAGGGAGCCACACCTCATGTGAGCCCAGTGGCCCCTGGCTCCCACCACCCCACCCCACCCCACCCCACCAGAGGGCCGTGGCCAGTGGCCCAGCACACCTGCCAGACGGCCTCCGCACCGCCAATCGGGCCTCTGAGGCCACAGCTGTGATCCGTCCTGCAAGAGGCAAAGTCCTGCCACGCCGCGGCCAGCGCCTCTTCTTGGCCTAGGAGCTGAAGCGCAACGGTCGGCCCAGGGCGGCAGCTGAGGGCCGAGGGAGGGAGGGAGGGAGGGCCAGCAGCACTCATTGCAGCTCCTGCAAATGCTGTCCGTCCCACGCAGACTGCCGGGAGCGCACCAGCTCCTGCTTCTGGGCCACCTCCTTTAGCGGCAGGTGACGCACGAGGGGTGATGCACGAGGCTGACCAGGGGCTCGCAGCTCGAGGAGGGGAGCCCTGAGCTGAGCGCCCAGCTCACCTGGTGCTTGGGGATCTGGCAGGGCTGGAGCAGCGGGTCCAGGCTCAGGCCTTCCACGGTGAGCTGGTGGGCCGGCAGCTGGCCGACGCTGTCCTCACCGTGCAGCCTGCAGGCGCCCCATGCTGGCGTGGCGGCTCTGCGGTGGGAGTGGTGCTTCCCCGTGCCTGCTCCCCAGCGCTGTCATGGCCGGGCCGTGGCTTCCCCGCAGCCTGGCCTCAGGCAGCAGCTGCAGACGTGGGCATACTGGAGGTTCCAGAGACAATGCCTGGAACTTGGAATCCGGGATGCGGCAGCTCTCCTTTCCGTGTCCGTCCCTGTGCCGGCAGCCCTCAATGCAGCCCCATCTGCTTGGAGGTGGCAAAAGGCGCTCGGAGCCACCAGTCACCTGGGGCAACCATGACGGGCTGGAGGGTCCCCCCCCCCAACTAGGAGCCTGATCGTCCATGGGGAGGACGGCTCTCCCAGGGCTGCTGAAGCCGCTGCAGCTCAGGCAGAATGCGCTTTCGATCGAACTGGAGGCTGCCGTCCCGACAAGGAAACGAGCTTTTAGTCCGCACTGGAGCACTGGCACAAGGCACAGCAGGACCTGCTCATCGTGCTGCGACACGGACCGAATCCCTTGGCAGAAAGCTTTCCACTTCATAGCCTGTGATCTTCTGGTCGATGGTTTGCACTGCCTCCCCTCCAGGATGGTACTCAACTCAGCTGGAAGAGGTGAGCGCATGTGCCCGAGGGACGGATCCTGCACTCTCCCGGGTGGAGAATGCCGGCGTCTATGTGCCGAATCCTCCCCTGAGCCTGAGAGATGCCAACGGTTGGCTGGACTCTTTTCAAGTGTAGGTGAGCACACTCCGTGAGCGCGCATTTCGCAAGACTCCCCTTGGGGAGATGGAGTCTGAGGGTTAGAAAGCAGAACTGGAAGGCCGCCTCACTCTGAGACCCATGCGAGCGCCTGCAAGACGGTGAGGCAGGAATGCAGCAGCTTCTGCAGGTGCACCGGTGCAAACCAGTCTCCCAGTGGGAGAAGGGGGAGGAGGCCTCGCAAAGGCACCACCTGGAATTGGTTTGCCAGAATAAAGGCGTGAAGGTCTCTTGGGTCCCGGATTGGCCAAAGCCCCCACCCCACCTTGGCAGCACGAAGCATCACGAGGAGACCGCCGGCGAGTGCCGGGGGTGGCAAGCTGCTCAGAGCCCTCCTCCGCAGGGCAGCAAGTGCCCCATCCACCAAGGTGGGTGACGGGACACCTGGCACGTGCCACCGATGGGGGGGAAGGCACTGGACTCGCGCCGCGGACCCTGCGGCACCAACGGCAGCCGAGTGCTGCGCACAAGGGCTCTCCGGGGGCGGGGGGAGTGCGAGGAGCCTTGCAATCAGCAAGAACAGGGAGGGGAGGAGGGATCTGGTCCACGCCTCTGTTGGCCTCCGCTGGGCAAGACGCTTTCTCGGCATGGGTCGGGCCCGGGCAACTGGCATGGACTAGCAGGCGGGTGTCGGAAGTCCCACCCTCCTCACTGCAGCCCACGCCTTGCATACAGAAGAGAACTCACCATTCCGGGACTTAGAGGGGCCTTCCGGCTGGCAAGCTCTGGGAGCCCCCCAGAAACTCCTCTGCCCCCCTTGGCCTGCTGGCTGTCTCCAGCAAGGCCAGCCCCAGGCCTGGGGCAGAGGGGCCGGCCAGAGTGGCTGTGAGGCAGAAGCAAAGGGAACAACTTGCCCACTGCCTTTATCAGGCAATTCCAGGAAGCCAGAGAAAAAAATCCCGCCCCCTCCCCTCCCCTCCCCTCCCCTCCATGGGTGCCTTCTTGCCATCCTTCTCAGGGCGGCACTAATTAGCAAGAAGCAGCTGCCACGTCCTGCCTGGGACAAAAGCCACTCGGGGCTCCTCTGCAACCAAATGTGGACTGACCTGCTGTGAGGAAACTACGCTCTTCAGGTGCCCCAAACCTGCAGGAGGCGAAGCCTGCGAGGGATGGCTTAACGGGGGGAGGGTGTGGATCTGATGGCTGCCTGGCCCCCACCAGCCATTCCAGGATTCGGGGGGCCTCCTCAGCCCCAGAAGCAGAACGAGGAGGGGTCTTTCTTGGCCTGACCTCAGGCTGCGCGTCTGCTGCCTGTCAGACTCAGGGCAGCTGCTCCAGCCCCAAGGCCCGCCGGAGACCCGGCTTGGCATCTCGGGGAGTTCCAGCTGTTTTCCGGGCCAAGGCAGAGGAGGGAGGGCTCTTCCAGGGTCAGGCCAAGACAGCTCCAGAGGGCACTGCTGAGGCCGAACCGTTTCCCTGCCCAAGCACACGGCTGGCGAGGGGGCAGGAGAGGCTCCTGCAAGCGCGTGATGGCAAGCAGGCCCTGCCGGCTTGGCAGGCGTCACTTTCCACTCTGAGAGCAGGTTTCGGGGGGCTTTTGCCCCTTCTCCGCCGGGGCTGCTCTGCATCACAGGATCTTCCTCAGCTGGGGGCTTCTCTAGCTGCCTGGCTTCTGAAACCTCCAGAAAAATGGAAGATGTGACAGGACACGGATCTGCAGCCCCTTCCAGGACGGAGCAGGCACGAGCCGGCGCCACGGACGGAGGCTGCCCCCAGTCCCACTGCCAAGCTGAGGTGCCGCCCAGGGTGCTGCCTGGCACTTGGAAATATGCAAAATGAGGCATGAGCACAGACCTCATTAACGCCGCCTCCAACATCATTAAGATGTTTTGAAGAAAATTAATTGATAGACTCATTAAAAAGAAATTAAGAAAGATGTGTTGCCGAGTGCTTGCTTGGAGCTCGTAAATCACCGCTCGAAGCTCTGGGCTGCTGCGCAGACAATTAATGCTGGCCAATTTGTTCTATCCTGACTGCGAAAATTAGAAAGCCAAAGCCGACGTGGAGATTACATTCGGGGCGTCTGTCACGCAGAATTCGGAGAGCATATTTCACAATACAAGATGGAAATTAGGAAAACAACGATGGGGCTGCCGGTGAGATTTGCATCTAAGGTGCTGCTGAACAAAGAGAAGGGGCACCCGGGACAGACGGCGCTGGCAGGTTGCAGCCCCACACTTCCACTCACTGCCTGGGACACGGTGGGGCCAAACAGGAGCCGGGCCCGATTCAGGCGCTGCCCCCCTCCAGTTGCCATGGAGTTCTGGCCACACTTGGCTTGCTCAACACGAAAGGACGTGAAGCAGAGCAGCCCAGCTCAGAGGCACAGGGAGCAGCAGGAGCCGCCTGGCAGGCAGTCCGGGGCAGCCAGCCGGAGCCCCCGAGTCGTGAGCCTGGGAATGGCTGTGACAGCAGAGGCCCCATTCATCCCCAGGGAGGATGAGCCAGGTCTCTGAGCACGAACCTGCCTCTCCCAGCCAAGCGCATTCCCTCAAGTCACCCTGCTGCCAGCGGGCCGACAGAGATGCCTTGTTCCTGCCATGGACCAGCCACGAACAAGCGGTGCCAGGGGCTCAGTGTCGGAGCTCCGGGGGGCGTCCCGCCTCGACCCGCCAACAGCTGCTTGCCCCAGCCCCAGACACTGTGCGCAGGGTGGCGGGGAAGAGCCGCTCCCCGCCCCGAGTTCTCCTCAGGCATCCTCCTGCCAAGTCGCCTAACCGCATGGTGGAGCCTGCCTGTGTCTCACTCAGGTTGCCTCCGAGCATCTCATGCCAGCCCCGTCAGCCGAAAGGCTCATCGAAAGGGGAAGAAACTCATCTTTCTGTTTTTTCGACAGGACAAAAGCTGGAGAGAGCCTGGGAGGCCAGTGCAAAAGTTGCCCGGGAAATGGCAGAGCCAACCAGAGCCGCACTGGCAGAAGGCATTGGGGCGGGGGAGGAGCTGACCTTTCTATGTCAGGCAGAGGTGATCATAAAAAGGGTGCATTAGAACTGGTGATCCAATTAAACAAATGCAGCACTGGAGCTAGCAAGGGTTCAGCTACGGGCAGGGGTCAGAGGAAAGCCAAATGCCTCACTCTCACTCAGAAAAGGGACTGAGCAGGGATCCAGGAAGCCGCAGACTCATCCCGCTAACTTCTCTCACAGCTAAATGCACAGGTGAACCCAAGAGAATTCAGGGAACAGAGAGGTGCCTTCCCACAGAGGAAGGATCTGCTCGGTTCTGCAAGAAGAAACTGTCCACACGACTCTTGGAAAATTTTCGGGGATTCCAATGGAGGGAAGCCGTCAGCAAAACATCCTGGGACAAGGGATGCCAACTGGTGACAGACTGAAGACGGGGTGAGAGCCAGCCGAACACACAGCGGCATGTCCCTGCGCCCGGATCTGCACATCGCCGGCCCTGCCACTTGCTGCCACGACAGCCCAGAGCCAGAGGAGCCCTCACGCCGACGCCAGCACTGGCTCTCGGGGCCCATCAGAAAGGGAGGGGGCAGAATGCCGTGGCACCAGCAGGCAGCTCTGGTGACGGGGAACAAAGGGGGCAGCACCCGGGGGTCGCCGGGTGCCAACAGCGAGGCAGTGGCCGGAGGGAGGCTCTGGCGGGGTGCAGACGCCCCGCTCTGCCCACGCGCAGCGCCGGCAGCACCGCCATCCTCATCCGCACCGTGTGCTGGACCGCGAGTCGGGCCGGCTCCTCCATCCTGGCCCGGCCTGCAGTGCGGAAAAGCGGCAGCAGGGGTCTCCCTCAGCCTGCGCCTGCCGCTCCCGCAGCCTCCCAGCCCCTTCGCTGCTGCATAATCCCAAAATGGCAGATTTTAAAAAATCCACCTTGATTATCAGACATGAGAAGTGACTCATCCTGCAGTGACTGTCTGGCAGGAGGACAGGATCAGACAGCAGACCATGCGAGGGGGACGCATTCGCAGCCTCTGCTGCTGAGCCTGGGGACACCTTTGTTCCATCAGAGATCCCATCATGTGAAAGGAGGGAATTAAACCTGCAGGAAGAGACTCCGCACATCCGCGCCTGGGATGGTGTGGGGGGAGACAAGGCAGCCCCACACTTGTGGGTTCGCGGAGCTGGCAAGCGGCCCACGGGAAATCCATCAGCCGATGGGCAGAGACGGGGATGGAGGGCAGCTCCTCTCCCGCCTGCAGAGCCCCCCCACGCGGGCGCAGGGCAGCCGGGGGCCCTTCCTCAGCTAGGGAGGCTCACCCGTCTTGCCTGCCGCTGGCCTGCCCGTGTGCCGCAGGACTCCAGCGCCCCCACGCGCCCCCTGTCTTGCCGGCTGCGGGCCCACCAGCCCGACAGAGGCCAAGGCCCCCATGCCCCCAGCCTGGGAGGGTGAGCCACCCCAGCCTCCCGCTGTCCCGGAGCAGGCCAGCCCGCACCTCGGGAGGACCCAGGGAGGCAGACGAAGGGGTGCCAGAGGGGCCGGGGCCTCCAGAGACACCCTCTGACCAAGCTGCAGGGCCAGGGGGGCAGCTGCTGGCCCCCAACAGAAAAGGAGCGCTAGAAGCAAGCTGGGTGGTTTCTTTCGATCTAAAATGTGTATCTTTTAAAAAGGTATATATGGCCAATGCTCACGATAAACACGCCAAAGCTACACCCGCAGCCTCATAAAAATGAACGCAAGTCTGTCATGCTCACCCACAGAGGGGAAACGCAGTAGAATATGAAGTATAAAAAGTGTCGCTGCGAGTCAACAATTATTATCCTTTGGCAGGGGAGCGGTTGCCCCCCCCACAGCCACCAGCAGAGCGGAGGCCGAGCCACACAGCCGGCTGCGCCTCCCCGGCTGTCCAGGGCCCCTGCCCACCTGGCCTCCATCTCCGCTTCCTTCTGGACAAGTTCCACCTGCACGGTCGCCAGCTGTGCCCTTGGCCCATGCCCCTGCCCTCCGGGGGCTGCCTTGGGGAAGGCCGCTCCCCCAAGAAGCTGCGCATGGTTTTCAGCCACCAGTCACAGCCTCCCGGAGAGGCCCCCGGAGGCCCCGTCTGGGCGCTTGCGGCCTGCACTTGCCGCGCTGGCACGCAGCACAGGGTCCAACGGGGTGTTCCCTCCCTGAACTGGGCAGCCTCGGCCGGCCTCCGGAAGCCCCTCCGCGCCCTCTTTGCCTGGCGTGGGGCTCAGGGCCACGGGCCTCCCCTGCCCGATTCTGGTGCACACGGGACCTGCGTGGAGGGGGCTGCTCGCAGGAGCCCCGTGGGGGCAGTGGGGCGGCCTGGCTGTGGGGGCTTCCGCAGAGCAGAGGCCTTGTGGCAGCCATCAAGAAGCAGGGCTCCCGGAGCACCCGGGGCAGACGCTCGCGCAGGCAGGGAAGGGCTGGGCAAGATGGACCCCTGCGTGGGGCGAGCAGGGCGTCTGAGGCTCTGAAAGGGGAAGGCGGCCCTCCATCCTGCTGCCGGATCCCTCGCCTGCTGCCATGGCCAAGCAGGCCTTGACAGAGGACCAGCAGGGCTGGAAGGAGGCCATGCGCAGCTGGGCAGTCGAGGAGGAGCGGCCCGGCTGCCCCCCCCCCCCCCCCGCAGGACGCCTGCCCTCACTGCAAAGGAAGCGGTGGCATCTTTAGGGCGCCTCCCCCTCGTTAAGCGGGATCAATGCTGCCTTTTCTTTCCCTTTATTTTCAGAAGCAATTACTCCCGTGTCACTTCTGGAGACATTTGCAGAGAGTGAGGGTGCTGGACTGCCTGCCCCCACCCCCCGCCCCGTGGCATCTGCAGGGGAGGCGAAGTATGGAATTAAATGCGGAGCTGCGGAGCTGCCGTGGTTTCCTGTATGCAAATGGCGACATTAAAACCACGGATGTCAACTTGCAACACGTCTCTTCTTCTCCTGGATGATCAAAGCTGATTGCTGAGGCAATTACTGCAGAAGAAAGGGAAACTGTGGGCCGTCCGCGCATCCCTGAGCTGCTCTCCGAGCTTAATTGTTTAGCGGAGCGGAAACTGCAGCTCCGTCTCCTTTGTGCGCTAGCCGGGCTGCCTCTGCGGGCTCTGCGCACGCGCACATGTGCTCCGCGGAAGGCGCCGACCGCCCCCGCAAGCAGAACCGTCTCCCCCTCGGGTCCTGAGGGCGGCGTGCGGAGCCCTGGGCCGGCCCCCAGCCAGCATCCTGCTCCCTGGGCGCAGGAACAGGGGCTCCCTCGGCCTGCAGGGGAGCGGCACAGCCCCTGGCCGGAGGGAGGCGCCCCCCACGTGCGCCTCTGCCCTGCTCCCATCAGAGCAGCAAGTGAGGAGATGGGGGCAGGAAGAGCTGCACGGTGGCTGGAAAGACCCTCCCTCCCGCCAGTCGAGCCCCTCGCTGACCTCCTCCTGGCCAGGCCGTGGCCAGCCTCCCTGGCCACCGAAGGCTGCCCTGCCTGTGAGCCGCCGGGCCCCTTCTCTTCCGCCTGAACCTGCAGAGCCTGGCTCGTCCTCCTCGCCTTTTCCACGGGAAAAGTCAAGCCGGCAGAAGCCATTAAACAACGCAAACACAGCACTAAGGAGACGGCAAGTGGAAGGGGATGGCAAAGTAGCCGGCCACCCCAGGACGGTTTATCTGCTATTCCTTGAATTCACATGCAGGCGGCCCCCCGGCTCTGCACAGACCCCGCAAGCAAGGAGGGGCCAAAGCCGGTGGGCCGCTCACCTGCCGCCCCCTGCCCTTCCCGTGCCCGGCTGCGGGGCCCGCGGGACTGCCCACGGCCAGGGGGTGCGGGGGTGTGGGTCCTGCGTGTGGGCCCTCATGCGGAGCCGGGCCCCACGTGCCGGCGGCTGCCTCACGGGGCTGTGCCTGCACCAGGTTGCTTGCTGCCCTGCGGCCCGGATCAGAGCAGAGCTCCTGGGGGGCCCCCACCGCGTCTGTGGGAGTGGGGCGGGGGGCTTCCTCGCAGCTCTTGTTGCGCCTCTCGTGTGCTGCAGGTGCCGCAGACCGCGGCCACGTAGGCCACGTGGATCTGATGATGGTGGGGAAGGGGCTGCCACGGCCGGCACGTTTCAGGGACTGAGGCGGCAGTAACGGCCCCCACCCCCGGCCAGAAGCGGGTGCCTAAGCGGATGGCGGCCCCGTTTCAGACTCCCGAGGAGGGCACCGGGCCCCCTGGAAAGAGGGCTTTGCCACACACCCAGGCCGCCCCACCCCAGGGGAAGAGGTGGGTGCTGCAGCTGATGCCCAGCCTCGGAGAAGGGGGACACGCTTTTTAAACAGAGCTGCCGCTGTGCAAGATGGGGATGGGCATGTGGGGTGTGCAGATCTGGACCCAGCAGAGCATTTCTCACAACCTTCAGCCCGCAGCCCCCGGGCTGCCTTGCTTCGGGGCAGAACGACTCGCACCCTGGCACAGCGCCTGGGTCTGTGGCTGCCTGCCGTCCAAGCTCAGGGAGCCAGTGCTGGCACTGCTAGCCCACGGAGCTCGTCTCCTGCAGGGTGCTCTGCGAGGAACGCAGCAAAGCCCCTCCACTGAAAGGAAGCGGAAGGGTGTGATCTACTCATCAAGGACCGACAGAGACTTGTTGACATTTTAGAGACGCCAAACGTCTGGTGCAAAAGGGCCGCGAAGGCAGCGATCCCAGCTGCCACGCTGCTCTGGTGCCAAGTCGGGGAGCAAGAGCAACGTGGCATCAATCAGCCATTGGGGAGATGCTGCGCTCCAAACAGCATGGGTGCTGAGCGCTTTACTTTGTACAAGAGCCTTGCGCCAAAGGCCGGAAACCAACAAGGGGGAACAAGGAAAGGATGCAACTGGCGAGAGAGTAGACCCTAAGTGAGAAGAGGCTGAGAGTGACTTGAACCAGCTTCTTCCCAGCTACGAGAGGACAGACGATGCCCAGCTGCAGGCCGCTGCCAGACAGCCTGGGCCACAATCCAGGGCGAGAACTTGCCGGGTCCACGCCTGCTGCATGCGACCCGCAGAAGAACAAGGCCGAGGGAACGGGGCCTGCCTCCACACGGGCTCAGGAACCACAGAAGGCACCCGCCCTGCACTCTCAGGCCCTTGAGAGCCAGAGAAAGAAAGTGCCCCCGTTGGCAAGACCCATATGGCCAAGAAGCCACCCCTCATGGCTGAGCACAGGGCCTCTCCCAGGCCTGACCAGATCAGGGGGGCCTCGGAGGACATGAGGCCTGGAGCCTCCTGGCTCCCCTGGCCACAACTTGCGCCTGCTCCCCGCTGGCCTGACCAGAGCCGCGCCGGCCCAGGTGAGAGGAGGAAACGGGCTTGTTGGGAACGGAGAAGTCTGCGGGGGGCCCGGTCCTGGGCAGTTGCAGAATGAGCCTTTGCACAAGTCCACAGACAGAGCCTGGAACTTATAAATTATACAGTTCGTTTGCATATTCCAGTCATGAGACCCTATGCAAATGTTGCCTGATTTGCATAATGGATTCCACTCACCACTTCAGTTGCTTTGCGTTTTTCAAGAACAAAATGAAATCAAATCGGAGCCCGACAAGGTGAAGGGCTGCGTCCAAGTGCTCTGCGTGGGCACCTGAGCCCTGGCATGGGATGGTGCTCCAGGCAGAGCCCCTCGCCTGCCGTCTAGCGGGATCCCTGCCCAGGAGGTGCTTCAAGGGAAGGATGGGGCACGGGGCCAGCGAGGGAGTGGGGGACACCCCCGTCTCCTCTCCCGCTAGCAGGGCTCGGGCTGGGAAAACCGCCCTGTCATAACTGCTTAATTAAATACAGTAGAGAACATCAGCTGATAATAAGCCAAGCTGAGAATAGGTGAGATGCAGGCGGGGGCGGGGGGCACTGCTCGCCTCCCGGATGCTCAGAGCAGCCTTTATTTTTAGAAGGGGGCTGGGGGAGGGGCCGCCCTGATAATTTATCAGGAACTGTAATGGCAACAGATTGCGAGGGACGAGGCGGGGGTGTCGCCGGCTGCCACCCTTCCTCCCTCCGCAGCCGGGCGGGCAGGCGGGCAGGCACTCCCCTCCTGTGGGCTGCCTTGGCTTCGCCGCACAGCTGTGGGGGCCTCCCTGCCCCCCCCCATGGAAGGCTGGACCGTGCCAAGCGGCTGGCGCTCGCACCCTGTGGGAAAAGTTGACTGTAATTCTTCCGCTTTTAAAATCAATTAATCCGTGTGTTAATTAACATCAAGTCGACAGGAGGAGGGGAGCGCGAGCGCGAGGGAGGGAGGGAAGGAGGCAGAGAGGGAGGGAAGAAAGGCAGAGCGGCACGGGCGGGCGGATGGCAGGCTGGCTGGCACGGTGCCATCCATTCAGTGGCAGCGCCACCGCTCCGTGTGGCAGCGGCGGCGGGGGCTGCTCCGGGGCTGCTGCGCCTGGGCCAGACGGCGCGGAGCAGCGCGGGAGCTCAGCCGGAGCCCGGAGACGGCGCGAGCGGCAGCA